CCTGCAGCCTCCACAATAAGAAATACAAACTTTGATTCCTAGAGGAACATCCCACAGTCGTTTATGGAAAAAGGTTGGTAATGTCTTCTCAGATGTCAATATCATCCTAGTCACCATTTCCTTGAGAAACATTGTCTGTCGATTGTACTCCAACAATTACCCTCAATTATAGGAAAAACAATGAGTTGGCCTGGTTGTACTTGTGCTTGCATTTGGGACCAGGACCACTGACGCAAGTGAATTTGGAAGTAACTAGATAATTATTGGGAACAGGCAAAACATTAAGTACAGTACTGAAATATACACACAGTACCAGAGGTGTCAAAAGTACACACATTCTTTACTCAAGTAGAAGCATAGATACATGTTTTAAAAAATAGTCTAGTAAAAGTTGAAGTATTGACTTTTTACTCAAGTTAAAGTGAAAAGTACAGATTCTAAAACATACTTAAAGTATAAAAGTATAAAGCACCCTTGCAAAGAACAAAACCACCATTTTAGGGCAGAGCTGACTGGACTCCATCATGTCTAAGCATTATGTAGAACGCAGGCAAAGAAAAATAACGCCACATAAATACTTAAAGCTCCATTGGCCATTAACATCATTATACATGACGATTGCCTTTTTCCTAAACACATCATGAAAAAATATCATAGTACTGTAAAAGACAGGGATTACGAACTCAATGTGCATGGTGTTCAAAAAACTTTACTTGTATGCAAATATATTACGTGTTTGTGTAAGCCAGAAGAACTCAGGCACGCACCATAAGACTACCAGAAACCTCTGTTTAGCTTCAAAAGACGCTGATTTTCAAAGTTCTTGGAATTAACACATGCCCTTTTCGGTGTGAATATCAGTCCGGCTGTGCTGGACAGTCTCTCGCATGCAGCTGAGGCTGGTGGTGGAGTGTTAAGCCTCAATGACAGGTTGAATACTGTCGGGAGAGACTCCGCTAACACTCTCCAGTTTTATTAGACATTTCGTCAAGCTACTTTCTTTTCAAGCTTCTTTCTTCCACTGCATTGACTGCAATCACGATATCTTTACCCACCCAGTTGCCTCCTGGTTTTAGTCTCTTGCTCTCTCTCTCGCTTTATCGGGTCTATCGTGTTGTGCGTCAAGTGCAAAGACGAATACACCAATGGGATTGACTTTTCTCTTGTTATTTACAAACGTTTTAGGCCTCAACCAATCAGTCAAGTTGTCTGGATCGCGTGCACTATTGAGTCGGAATAGATAAAATGCTTGGCAAAATGCCCTAATAAACATCATTAAACAAATTAAACAATTAAACAAAACAAGAGTAACGAGCCTGATTTGAAAATGTAAGGAGTAGAAAGTACAGATATTCGTGCTAAAATGTACATAGTAAAAGTTAAAAGTTTACAGAAAAAAATAAATAGTCAAGTAAAGTACAGATACTCGAAAAATCTACTTAAGTACAGTAACGGAGTATTTGTACTTCGTTACTTCCCACCTCTGCACAGTACTCTACAGCAAATAATAATGTAAATATAAAATCACAACACTTTATAATAAAAAGATACTGCACATAAGTTTCAGAAAAAAGGCAGGAATTGCACAATAAAATCAAAAGATCAAACAATGGCAAAGATGAAGGAGCCTGAAACTTCGTTTCATTTTGAAGTTTCATTTTATATAACAAAATATCACAGCACAGATACTCTATCTGCATCACATACACATTACTGTATGCATACTGCATTATGATGGTGGGTCATTATACGGCTGGCAGCACTGCCTATTTTCCTGCACCTGTTACACTGGGTAATATAGTGCTATAACACCCTGCTACATCTGCTTTTAGGTGTCTTTCAATTAGTGTATATTATTTTCTATGGACCTTGGTTGTAAATGAGATCGAATGTTACTCGACAGGACAAATAGTGATGGATACTTGTGCTTGTCTAACTCCTGCTCCAATATTGCTTACACTTGTATCTGGACATTTACTGGAAGCTCAGCCTACTGCACTTATGCCCAGTTTACTCCAAGACATGGATATTTATAACATGCTATTCGCCTCACTTGTACGGCCCTTTGGACAAAAGTGTCTGATGAATAGAAGTAAATCCTTTCCTGGGTTTCAATTTACAAATGTCTGCAAACTTCCCCCTGAAGGACTTCTGTTGGAACACTAGTACTAGGCATGCCTGTCTGAAATGCTTGGATCGTTAAAATCTCGCATTTGGGCCAGACGTGCATGCTCGAAAGCTTGTTGACATCAGTGTGTCGATCCCCATCCACTTGTGCTAATGGCGGGGGGAGGGGGGGGGTTGTGATTCTGACACTTGGGAAGCAGCTTGTCCTCACTGCCAGAGACAGGATGTGCTCAACAGTATCTCGCCTCCAGTAAAGCACAGGCTGCTGACATCAAGCCTCCCTGTACTCCATCCTCATGTGTGTCTGAACTAAAATCCACTCCGTAAGTACAGGCCCTCCGGAGAGACTATCTTCATATTTTACGGACAACCCCGCTTCGGTACACATAAAGATTCATGAATGGAAAAAAATATTTTAAAAGTAAAATGCAACATCCACAATTAATGCAACACACTCCAGCCAACTTCACTATCTGTCATGGCATGTACAAGTTTTTTTTTTTTTATTTTTTAAAACCACTACTCTCGGTGGGGTCTTTGCCTTCCCAATGTTTCCTAAAACCGTCACTACTGTAGGGAAAAAAAGTCCTAACAGAAACAGGCAGAGATAAAACGGGCAGTAACTCTAAACACTGCAGGGAGACAGAAAGTCAAATGATGAAGCACAAATGCTTTATCACAGCCAGTGGGACCTTGGTTGCCCAATGCCTGAACCGTACACAGCAGGTGCCAAGCCAATCGTAAAATGTAAGTGTGAAATCCAGCCGGTTCGCTGGCGACCCGCTGGAGCCAGAAGCATAACATTAACCATCCCACTGACTACCACCTTAATTCTGCCGCCCGTAACAATGTTCTCTGGGCGCTGGTGGGGTCAGTCTCATCTTGCTGTTCTGCAAACGTACAAGATTGGGAACTCCAAGCACATTCGCAAGCAGGAGCCAAAAAAAAGTAAAAGTAAATGTTCCCAGTCATTTTGGGGCAGGCATAAACGAGGGTAGCAAGCATGGGGACCTTTGAAGAAGGCAACAAAGGGCAATTTTAACATGAAGTTAGGATTAAAACAGGGGCTCGCCATGCAGGAACAGGACACACCGTAAGTCACAGCAAATCAGACACTAGGTTCATTCACTGCATTCTGCATTCTGCATTCTGCCCTCTGCCCCTGGATATTTATTTATAGTGCTGGTGGCTACAACACCGGCCCGTCCTCCTCTTATTAGGCAAAAGAGCAGAAAAACACGAAGGCAGCAGGCTAGGGTAAGTGGAGCAGACGCTGTGACTCTAATAAGGTGCTCCTCTAATCCATTTGGAGGTGAAATCCCATAAACGACCCACTGAAACAAAACAACATGTATTTCCTTACTAATGGATGCCACCTCTAAGAACCTTTAAACAAAGCAATTGCAGGGAGTCGAATTAGCTCACCAACATCTATTATAAAGTATTATTATGGGCTGCTTACGATTTTTTTTAAGGGTGACTATAAGAAGTATGTGATTCACTGTCAACGAGTTAGCGTTAGAATAGGCTGGGGGAGGGTTCTCTGTAAATTGTTGCGAGTTTCGTGTGATATAGCCTGTCGTCAATTTGCTGACCGGAGGAGGGGGCTGCCATAATAGGGCTTAGGGCAATCGCCCCACCAGTCCCCTGCCTCTTCTGCTATGGGGGGGGGGTTAATGACAGATAGACAGATGACAAATAGGACAAAATAAAGAGGCTGGGGGGAGGCTGATAAAAATCCCATAGATTTCCGTGCTGTGTATACGTGCACTGCGGTGGTTGGCGTTTCTGGTCAGACCTAGTAAGTCTGCCAGTTACCTAACGCTGCCTGAACTGAGGCAAACGGTAAACACTTGACAGTGGCCACTCCCCCTCGGCTGCCAGCTGTGCAGCAGCCCCGGACAGCCTGCTGTCGAGCGACACATCGGGATCGGATGGTCTCTGCCCCGACTCCACAGTCTGGGAAACGCACCCTCCCTGGGACAGTTGGGAATTTATCACCGAAAGCAGAGTGTGCGGGATGCAACAAAGGCAGCCCATAATTCTGGCCAACCGATCGATGGGCTGACACGTGGTACCCAAATATGCCGACAGTGTTACTTTGCCGTTACTGTTCAATGCTTTTTAAGTGGGAGCAAACCATGCTTATCAAACTTAATCTAAATGAGTGTATGTATACTTTACTTTAGAGACAAACCTCTATTGACACATATGATTTTTTTCATACAACAATTAAACTGGAATGAAACCCATACGCATACATATGCACACAAGAATATGCAAAAAAAAAAAAATAAAATAAATAAAATAAAATAAAATAAAAATGGATTACGCATAACAAAAAGCGGCAAATTGCTGGGATTAGTAACGCAAGCGTGGGCTCCATATCCCGGCACAATGAGGGCCTGAAAGGTAAATGACTTGGGGAACCTGAGAGTGGACTGGCAGAAACAATGCTGCGCGCGGCTCGCATTCCATGCCTGCGACCGGAGCCAAAGCCCATGAAAGAGAACCGGACACAAATAAATAACAACAACCACTGAGCTTGCGACGGGTGTACGGATACCAGGAGCAATACCTGCGCGACTCAACGATGCACGATGCTCCTCGCGCTGAAGCGCGCCTCGCGAATCCCGCGCGACCCCTTCCGTGTACGTATATTTAGACGCTGTTTTAGAAGTTTTTCTAACGACTTTACTTCATAATTTCGCACTTACATGTAATGGAAAGATTAAGAAAAGAAAATTATTTACAACAAGCAAATATGGTAGCTTATACGTGTTTCTTACCGGCCATCCTACATTCCAAATAGTTTCTCTCACTCGTTTTCTATCAGACAATTTTAGAGTGAAGTGACGGCAAGGAAGACTTACTCGGTTTAGTGCAAGGCAGCCGGCCACACCGACACGAGAAGACAGAAAGGGGCGAAGAAAATGGGAGTCATTCTACAGCGGGTCAGTGCAGCAGAGTGGGTAACGGGCCGGGAAAAGCGCAGCTGATCCGAGCGGCGCCAGCTCTCCGGCTGACAGCTATCAGCACTGAGAACAGCGACCGCCGCCCAGGCTCCACCCCCAGTACTACGTAATCGTGACCACGCCCCCACCAGTCTCCCGTTATATTTACTAGAGAACCGCGATTACCTGGTGAAACGGACAGGGTAATCCAGCGGCGAACATTCATGCGCAAGAAGCGCAAGATTAACGGGTCGTAAGGTGGCGTTTGTGCTCAGGGAGCCTGTAAAAGGGGCGTAGCCAAATATAACCTAATACTATGCTTTTTTGAGGAAGAAGAAAAGTACCCAGCTAAAGTAGTGTTGATAATTTCGTGATAAATTTTACAATGACAATAAAGGCCTTCTATTCTATTCTAATTAAGTGCTAGCCATCCCAAAGGCCTTCAACGTACAAATGTGATGTTAGTCATAGACAGAGGCGATTCTAGGGACTCTGGGGGGGCTTAGGCAAAAAACTCCATGGGGCCCCTCAACTCCCCCTCCTGCAGCATGGTAACATTTATTACCTTAATTTACTGTGAAGTGTAAATTTATAATATCAACAAAGAATTTAACACAAGAACTTTATTTTCACTTTTATGAAAAGAAGAAAAAAAAAACAGATTTGTCACTGCATTGTACTATGTAATCAGCCGCCCACGGGGGCCCCCTCCCAGCTCATGGCCCCAGGCCACTGCCTGCCCTGCCGCTGTGCCCTTAGTCATGGACAGGGTGGGCATACCAGCTTCAACATTAGGATACAGTTGGCAAAGCAGTTATACAAAGATACACTGGCAATTAAAATACATATATTTTAGTTCATGCATTTGTGTGTACAACACCGGAAAAAAGCAGATATAGCTATATACAATGAAATTTACATGTGACACTTGCTGGGAGGGGGGGGATGAAAAAGTGAGACAGAGAGAGACGTGTCACACTGTGACACACACACGCTTCTGCGTTACATGTGGGCTCCAGTGTTGCGAAGACAGGAGCCCCAGCTGGTCTGGAAAATGCCATCTGTGAAGGGAACATTGAGCCAGATCAGATTTTTAAAGTCAGGTCAACACTCCAGCTCAGGCCAGACCCAGACCAGACTGATAGTCAAAGAGCACTGAGCCGTTATTCAAAAACCCAAAAATATGGCACATACTGTACACACATATACTGCATGCTTTATGTTAACTGACAAATGGGGTGTAATTACAATAGATTTTCCCACTGGCTCTCACTTTATGGTAATTAATGAATGATGTACATTTAAATTTTTTTTATAAATTAACAGACAGAGTTGGGGTAAAGGAGGCAAGAGTGTGACCTTACCACACATACGCTATCACACCATCAAAACTGCGTTCAAATTCTTCACAGCCGACTCATAAATGATTCTGCAAGGGAAGACAGGATGATAAACTTAAAGACAGACAACCCTGATTGTTTCTTTGAGTGCCTTTTATATACGGAGACGGCAATCAAGAGCAAGAGAACGGCCCAGTTCAAAGGGACAGCCAATCAAAACAAACGGCGCAGAAATAAATGCCAGGGAAGCGTAAAAATGGAAGCAAATGGCCCTTCGATGGTGCTCTGCCCATTACGAGGACACGCCTGGCTGGGACCGACACTCCAGAGGGCCATCAGCGGAGAGCCGGCATTCCTTCTGGCCGTTAGCACCCAGTAACATCCACAGAATATGCTATTTAGCAGGGTAAGATGAAGCCCCACTGGAAGGGAGGGGGGCACTCTCATGGGCCGTCGAGAAAGGTGGTAAGAAAAGACCAGCCTTTACCAGCAGGGCCTGGGGGAAGCAAACTGGTACAAGCCACACCTGCTTTTAGGGTAAACACTTGGACTGACATGAGCCATCTGACTAGTTAGGAGGCAGCCTCCATGTTTGGGGCCGGTAAGTTAAATCCACCGACTTTGGACTTCACTTGGCTAGCAGATTCCCCTCCACTTGAGGGGGATTTCTTCAGCTCTGACACTTGAGAACTACAGACACGCTTCTGTCAGTCCCCCGAGGGCCCAGCTACCAAAAGAGGATGCTGATAGCCACCATGAGGGTATGAAGCTGTTACCTAGCTGTGCTCCCGCTGTCCTCGGCTGTGACAGCCTGGTGTTTATGGAGCTGATGCTGGATGGTGACAGCGATGCCTTTGAGCTCCGCCTTGAATCGGCCGGCTACAGGGAGAGGAGACCCGCTAAAGTCATAGTGTGACCAGGGTTACCATCATCCAGGACAACCAGAACTATAATACATTTTTGTAAACAAATAAAATATGAAAATCAAGATCAAACATAAAACGACTGTCTATCCCGAGTCTACAAAAACTAATAAAACCACACTAAAAGCAAAAACTAAACGATTTCAAATGAAAATATAAAAAATAAAAAAAGCTGCAATAACTGTGACAGTCACCTCACACCTTTAAAACCAGAACCCACAAATAAGTTATTCAAAAAAGGGATAAATGCATCATTTCAAATCCATTAATTAATCCATTAATCCATTAACATACAGCTGTTGCCCAAACTAATAGTGCTTTCATACACAACAATGATATTTACTCACAATGTCCCACCACTGCCAAAATATGTAGGACAGCAGCCAGCCCAGTGACGTCCTCGATGGCCCCCAATTCGATGGACGTGGCCGTTTCACTCAGCAAAGACCTGGAGGACATAGTAAGATAATTAAAATATATGAGACGAAGAGCACAGCCTGCCTGCCCATTAAACTCAACATCAGGCTAGATCTGTACAATGTCAATTTAGGCTACGTTCACACTGCCAGCCACATCGTTCAATTCCGATTTTTTGCTCAGATCGGATTTGTTTATCTTGACGGTTCACATTCATAAGTACAAGTGACCTGTATCTGACTGTAATGTGAACGCATCGGTCCTCTGAAACGTCACGCATGCGCACATTGATACGTCTTTACACGGGTAAAAAGCTGGTCGTAAAATTGGCACGTTGTGCGGCCATGACCGCTGCGCTGATTCGAGTCTTTTGCCTCTTTAAACTTTTACTTCAGGCTCTTTATTTTTTAGTTGGCATTGTAGCCACGTTCGTGTCCGCGCTGTGCCATTTCTTTGGCAATTATTTCAAATACTACTCTATTACGATAGGTTCCTTCCAGTTTAGCTTGAACAGATTCATTTCCCCAAATATCAATTAAATCCCCCCCTTCTCCATCCTTCCACTGACTGTTATCGCAGCTCTCCTCCATTTTTACCTTCCTGCGCTGCCGGTGCAGGCTCATGATGTCAGCGCATGCGCATCAGCAAAAAGCCACATGAATTCTGATCTGAGCGTCACATTCAGGTCGCATGGCCGCTAATCGGATACGTATCTCATTTAGTACCACATATGAAAGTGGCACAAATCCGATTTGAAAAGATCAGATTTGCGTGTCCACACAGCCCTGAAAAGATCAGATCTGTGTCACATTAAGGCAAAAGAATCCATTTTGAGTCACTTCAGCATGGCAGTGTGAACGTAGCCTTACTGTCTTGGTTACCTGGTGACCTTGGGGGCTTTGAGGATGGTCTCAAGCAAGCAGGCAGAGAGCGGCGGCAGGTCCTGGATGGACTCGGGGGTCACCAACTCCTCCGGACAGGAGGCCTGAGAACGGGACACCCAGAATAATTCTCAAAGGCACAACGGATAGACACCCACCAGATGGCCCTATTTAACCTAAATCCAGGAGGCAGACCAAAATAAAACCATCAGAAATGGACCCAGGGCCTTATGAATTTATACCACTGATTTTATTTGAAGCAGAGAGGACAGCTCACCTTGAGAAGCAAGTGGCGGACCTCCACGATCACGGCGGCGAAGACGGTGGAGAACACGCCGCCGACAGCCTCTAGGTTCACGTCCTTCCAGTCCTGGACGGTGCAGAGGAACTGGCCAAGGTCAGCCGCGGTCTCCTGACACAGCTGTGGGAGGATAGGCGCTGAGAGACATCTCCACCCCTTTAGGGAGAACCTCACGTTTTCGTCACATTATTCTAAACTCCGGGGCCACAGAGGACGATCTGATCTTGTAAGGCGTTTTTCTTGTGGATCATCATTGATTATAATGCAGCTTCTCTTTCAAGTTTGGCTGCCGATACCATGTTTCAGAAGGACGTTGGTCGCATCCCCTCCCCACCCACCATATCTGCATATAGGTGATCGCCAGGCACCAATTAAGACGTGCTCTCTAAAAACGTACAGGACCACAGGCCTTGAGGATCACGGTGGGACACCCGTTCTGGTGTGACCAGCCTCCACCGACCCCACGCACGCTCACCTGCAGGCCCTCGTCCGGCTGCTTGCGCAGCTTGCGTGCCATGACCTCCAGAACCTTCTGGAAGATGTTGGCCGCAACACCGAGTAGCTGGTCCAGCTGGTGGCTACGGGCGCGGGAGCTCTGGGTCAGGCACTCCAGGGCCACCTCCCTCAGCAGAGACAGGAGCGGCACGATGCACTGTTGGCCTCCCTCTGTACAATGGGAACAACCCAGCACATTGCCATGACAACAAGCGAGGGCCACCCATTGGCCAGAAACTTGCCGCCAGTTTCGGCCACTCACCCGACATGAGGAGGACAGAGCACAGGTCTAGCAGATGCTTTCTGAATTCCTCGTCCGCGAGGCCTACCATGGTCACGTCCCGGCACACTGTCAGACAGGCCTGCCCACAGAAAACCAGAGACCTCTCCCATCACTCGCACACAAGCAGGTCACTGCACATCAAGACCAGCAGGTGGTGCCAAAGACTAAGCAGGGGGAGTTATTGGCGCTCACACAAACTACCATCACCATAGGACGGCCAGCATCTTAAACAGAGGAACAATTTGCAGAGGAACTGGCCTTTAAAGCCGCCTTTAAGCTGAATGTCTAAGTTTCCAGAAACCATGTATCCTGAACATACAGCTGGGACCAGGTCTGATTTGTTTTCTGGCTCTGGATTATTTTAGACTGGACTGATTTTGGCACTGACTCAACCTTGGATTCTCCATTATGGATAAAGACATTTATACAACAATCCTACTCACTCGGCAATAAATTAATAAGACCTTAATTAAAACACCATAAACGAATTCACCTCTGCTGAGCTGTTACTAGGCCTTGAGCGACGCACTACAGGAATGTTTAATAAGCCCTAATAAAGCGGAATGGTACCGTTCTCTACCTGCCATGCAGTAATGAATGGGCCCAGTTAACAGAACAGAAAACATTTTTTCCTGTCAATACGAGTACACCAATGTAGTTTGTCGGAGCTGAAAGCAGAACCTCAAACAGCCCAGATGTTTCCAATGAAGAAAAAATCCCAAGCCCTCTCTTAAAGGCACAACACCCCTATTTAACATCCCACAGACCTAATCATTGTGAGGTAGCCACCGCCGAGCCGATACCCACGACCCACCTCAACGACCTGCTTAGCCAGGGCCTGCTGCTGGGGGCTGGGGGCCGCCAGGAAGGGAAGGACCCGCTCAGC